CCCCAAAACCCCAAAACCCCAAAACCCCATTGAGAAAGATTATTGCAATTTATGAATTTTTGAGAAAATAAAAATAAATCATCATAGTATAGATTGCTACTAATATATAGCAAGCTATTCATTCTAAAATAATTCTGTTTTTATATCAATTATTTCTCATTTTTTATCAAAAGCTTATTAAGGATTTTCTATAAATATCCTTTAATTTTACACAATATTTAATCCATTCAAAAATCTAAAACTCTTAGATTAGTTGATGGGCTATTCATAAACTAGCTCAGATAATACTTCATAGTTAGTATCATTAAATACTGATACTTCAATATGACTTTTAGCTTGCTTTGCTATGTGATGAAACCTAGACAATTTCTATGCCTTTTGGTTCTATCTCAGATTGTTATTAAAATAGGTAAATTTTCCTTTGGACTCATATGATTTAGCTAAGTTTTCTTATAAGTTATTAATCTGAAAATCTTGAGATTCTAATATCTGTATTGGCTGTATTATCTAATTTTCTTAGTTTTAAGGCTTTATCTGTATATTTTCCGGTTTTTAATTTTAGTTTAGAAATTATTCTGAGGCATAATTTTTAAAATCGTAGTTTACAACTTATTTATGTATTGCAGGAGAGTAAACACCATTTTTGCACTTTAGAGCATCCTATTGACTGTAAAGCTTATCTGTTTAAGATCATAATTTGGCGATTTAGATTTTGCTTTTCAATTTGATGTTATCATATCATAATAACTAAGCTGTGAACTTTCCTTTCCCGATCGAATTCTTTGGTTACTTGAAAATCTTGAGTGATAATTACTTGTTCCTGATAATTTTTGTTGGAAATTCATTTTCGCATTTACTTAAGAGCTTAGCTCATCTAATTGTTGATTTAGCTAGATAGACTAGATATCATACCTTTTTTGATAAGTTAAAGTTTAGATTTGCTCATTAATAATCAATGCAGCATCTAAAGCATCTCTGTCTCCTTAAAACCAAGGATGCTGAAGAGCTTACTTAGCCGTTGGGCGGAACAAGGGATTCTTCTCTAGAAGCTTTAGCAATAAATCTCTCCCATCACTACTTAGTGAAGTAATTTACTTGTCAACATGACCAAGATGACATAGTTTATTGAGAAACAAGATATTATCATTATCCGAACTTTGAAATAGGTAGCGGCCAGTAACTAAATTATACATTATTGATCCCAAACTAAATATGTCAACTTTATGATCATATTTTTCTCCTTCAAGAATTTCAGGCCCTATATAAGTAGGAGTTCCGCATTTTTCTTAAGGTTTCTTATCATCAGAGTACACACAGGAGAGTCCGAAATCAGCGATTCTTAGATCGTAATTATTCTTTTCTTTAGATTTGAGCAAAATATTATTTAATTTGAGGTCTCTGTGAATAACATCCATCTAATGCATGTAATCGGCTGCCAAGAAGAGCTACCCCATTATGATCTATAAATCTTTTTCTATGATTTCTTTGGAATGAATCAGAATGTCCATCAAAGTTCCACCTTCTTAATAATCAAGGAAAAGATAGATATTGTTGCTGGATTCGTAAACTTTTTAAAGAGTTAAAATGTTTCCACATTCTTATAATTTCCTGTGTGCTTCAATTTCTAGTTTTAGTTAATTAATAGCTACTTTATTATTGAGTAAGGTAGACTTTTTAATTTGCTTAATAGCAGTCTATTTAAGCAAGGGGGCAGCACTTTCTTTCAAAGTTTTATATTTGTGTGCTAATTTTACAACTGCATTACCTCCTTTGCCCAAGATTTTGACTAATTCATGTGATTTTGGCTCATCTAGTCTGATTACATATTTATCGAAGGCCTAAACCCATATTTTAAATCTTGATTAATCTCCCAAAATTAAATTGTATAACTAATCATTGTAGATCAACTAGAAATTAAAATTACTATCTCGAGTGGCAATAATCATCGAACTCTTTCTATAATAGCAAAAGTTAATGTCAAGATATAATAAAGACTCTTCTATATTAACTTTAAAGTCCTTTGATTAATGGTCATCTTTCAAATTTTAAAATATGATTAGTTTGCCTTTGTATAGCCCAATAAATCTTTAACTCATTTCATGATTATTTCCTTTCTAGAGATTAATCTCAAATGAGTCAAATAATTCGCAATCTTTTATCAAAATGCCTTATAAATCGTCCGTAGAATTTGTAGGTTAAAATTCGAAACATGAATTCGTTCTAAATTTCAAATAATCAAGTAGCTAAAAACTTTCTAAAGTTCTCTTTTTTTTAGTGCAGATCATTAGAATTATAAATCTAAGTAAGTTATTAATCTAACGAGAACAATATATTTATATAAAAACATACCTTCGTAATACAGTATTTATTTTAATCTCAAAGCCTCTAATTTAATTTACATTCTTCTAATAGAATCAGATTTATGTCTTATGGGGTTTTGGGGTTTTGGGG